GACCTCAGACACCAATCAGATGGTTAAAAACTCTTGTCATGTGAGGGGCCCATATTGAACCTGGACCCTTTTCTTTTCTATTTTTTTTAGTTTCCTGTTTTCTATTTCTAGCTGTCTGTACTATGTGTATTTCCTATGCATCGTAAGCTGTGACTTCATCTAGGTCTTGTATAGGGTTGTAGCTGCTGTTGTTGTGTATATACATACCTGTGCCATGTACTGCACTGTGACTTCATCCTCCTACTCTCCTAGTATACCTGCACCTGCTACTAGTCTCACTTCATTTCATTATCTACTTATTGTTTGTTTCCTTCCAAACGTTTTCAGGAAACCAGTTTTTTGGTTTTGCTTTTTTTGGTTTTGGAGGAAAACCAATGTTTTACAGAAAAGGAAAAAAATTCTGTTAGATGAGGGGAATTTTTTATACACATGTCAACCAACAACAACCATATATATATATATATAATCATCTCATCCATTCTTTTCTATCAGAAACAGAAAAGCATCACCAACCATGGATGACTGATGAAGGCATCACATGTATTGATGAAGCAGGTTATTCTACCTCAGTCACGCATAGGGACCGGAGATGGGTCTTTATCTAGATGTCATTCCACTGTCTCCAAACAGGTAGTTGGGAAGATGGCATGCACTTCAATGCATGTCCATAGTCCACAGAAAGGGGGGGGGGGTGAAGTTAGTAGCTACTACTAGGGTTTTGATGATAAGGGAGACGATCGCGAAACCCCAACAATGAATACACTGTGCAACATTGAAAGCATTGTTCTTGGTAGGTTATGTATCGTTCGCCATTAAATTTATATCGGTCTTAGGTTGTTAAATATGTCAATGCTGGAACATCAAGTACTACAAAGGGTGAAGGATTTAGTACTATTTCGGTTCCTCTTGCGACAAAATATTTAAGAGAGCAATGCTGAGAAGACCGTCCATGATCAGTATGGTCCATGGGTCCCTCCATTTTCTATCTATATATCTGAAATCAAATTAAAAACAGTCTAAGGGTGGAGGCCCATTAATCTTGGGTTATCAGTGTTGCGTTATGCAGGCAATTTGGTGTTTTGAGGTGGTTTAATTTGTTGGAAGCTAAAGCTTGAACATGGATTAGGTAAAGGCGGGCGGGTGGTTCACACCCCACACTGGTTGTGGTTGTGGACCTTACCAAGAAAAGTTAATCGACTTTATACTTTGAAACGCAAACATGTGTGGTGGGGAAAGGCCAAAGCAATTGATCTTGTGTGTTTGTATGTGCAGTCCTATATTGTTAAAAAGAAAAGTTTTCTCCTTTGATGCTCTGCTCTTTCTCTTGTTACTTTATGCTTTTGCTTGGGAAATCTCATTTTAGGGGTTGGTTTTGTCTTGTTTTGAGTTGAGGGGTTGAGGGGGGGGGGGGGGGGGGGGGGGGGGGGGGGGGGGGGGGGGGGGGGGGGGGCGGGGGGGGGGGGGGGGTGGGGGGGGGGGGGGGGGGGAGTAGATAGAGTACCCCAATAGCAACAGTAAGGGTAAGAGGCGGTCAGTCTCAGAGTGCACCACCGTGCTTTCCTCTCCCTTTTCATGTAGTTCCAAGGGAACAGAGACCCAACAGAATCTCGTGGAGCAGCCCTACTCTTTATATGGTGGGCCATCCACATCTCTACTCTAAATATTCTTTCCCAGATCATCCATCTCCATCTATATATTAATCAGTATAATTTCATTAATTTTGGGCTTTGCCTCCTACAAAACAAAAAGTAAAAAGTAAAAACCTAGTTGTTGCATTGCATGCCCAACCGCCTTCAGAAATCAACCTGTAATTTTTTTTTTTTTTTTTTACTTACTTGCTGCATTTGCAAGTAACATAACCACAACTTCAGCCCCAAAGCATGCATCTTTATTTTCAATACACACATAACATAACCACAACTCCAGCACACGGCTGAGCTGAACAACCCATGAATGTACGTTTATATATACACCTGTAAAATGCAGAAAGATGTACATACCGGCTGGTTATTCATTTGACCTATTACTTACTCCATCTCCATGCATGTACGTTTGTTTATATGTAACCCTAAGTGGAGAATACAAACATATTATACATGCAAACAAAATGGGTGAGTAGTTCAGTTCTACATCATTCACATTCAAATTTCTGCTGGCTACCCTCAAAGAATATCAAGTGAAATAGCACAATAGTAGAAACAGTTTGGCCGCATTTTTAGATTCGTAGAGATGATGAGACCAAGGTTTTAAATTTCGGAAATGTTGGCCGTTTTGGACAAAATTGTCTGTGATGCCAAATTTTTTCGTTATATTTTATTTGTTTTATTATGGTTTTTTATTTTTTTTGTATTTTCCATTTTATACGACAAAATAAAATAAATAAATAACCCATGATGAAAAAAGGTACGAAAAAAATTTCATATTTGGTGTCGGTTGGTGTTTCTGAAGCGAAAATTTCGCCGACATTTAAAGCCATGAGTTATGAGTTATGAAACCTTAGGAAGGAAAGATGTTTGTAACAGTCAGTCAATCCATATCTAACTACGTCCGTTGCAAGCAACTCACATGCAAGAGATTGGCCCTCACGTTCCTGTGATGGGAGGACTGACTGGGAGCTTTAGGTGAAGATTGCCTGTCACTCTCTCTCTCATACATGATACACCTTTCACTGGGTTGGTGATGGTGGTCTAGGAAGTCGGAGACCGAATAATCTCTTGTCCTTGTCTGAAAGGAAAATAATAGATACCATAAGGTGGTTAAAGGCCTCTCTTCTTTCACCCGCCAACGATGTCATAACTCATAACTAATCCTCAAAGTCCAAACAAGATTGATTCTTCATTGGTGAGTGGTGGGGCACAAATTAAGATCTATCCCATTACGTGTGAAGATGATATCTAATCTCTTGTTTTTCCTTAATTAATTCATCACTGAACATCAATGAAGAATTCCTTTGATTCGGACAGAGACCCACCGCCCAGGCCGTTTTGTTTACTTCTTGTTCTTAAAATTATAATTAAGGTAACCGCTCAGAAGCAGCACGAGGTTCCAGGCTTCCAGCAGCTTTGAACCCAAATTTGTTTCTTGAGGGATGTTGGAGACAAATGATGAGAGAGAAAGGATTATTTGAGTTCAAAATTCTTAATTTTATCTTCAGAAAATCAACATGATTAGGTTCAGCCTGATCGGTACAACTCAGTTTTAAATGCCATTAATTTTCTGAAACTACGGTTTTTATCCACACCTAGGAAGCTACGCTTGACGCTACGTACAGTTGACTAAAAAACAGATATGGTTTATTCGCTTGGGAACGCGTTGATTATAGCATTAATCTTCAACAAATTTAACGATCGACTGACTGAGAGTGCAGGACAGACACCCAAATGCTTCCTTGAGCATTATCAGAAGGCGTTGCATGCATGCACCTCTTAATAATATTGCCCAAGTACAGCGACCGGAGACTTGAGGCTGGTCTAGCAGTAGCAGTAGGGTAAAAGATCGAGCATAAGTGAGTGAGTAAGGGATGGAGATGCCATCTTTTCTTGGGACCTATGGTCTATAGGAAGGTTCATAGGTATGGAGACAAACTGAATTCTTATATACGAGTACCGCCTATTTTGAGCTTTCCCTGTAATGGTTTTTCATTTGTTGGGTCGTTTAGTTAGGTTGTTTTCCATAAGTAGCCAGAGCTACTAGCTTTTGACTGAAGTGGGTTCTTAGCTCGATCTATGGTACATTCCTGTTGCACTGTTACCTCATTAAATGAAACGTCTGCAATTGGGTTTTCGAGTTAGTGAAAACTGAAAATTTTGAATTAAAAATTCAAACACCTATGTATGTCATATATGTTTATGGAAGTGCAGGCTAAGGACATTTTGCATTAAACCATGAAATACCTTTACTAGTAGTGGTTTCTGGTGGGAATATACAGATATCTTCCCTTGACAGCTTGACTTCAGTTTACTATCTTCCCCTCTTTGCGACAAATATTTGTGGTGGAATAACGAGGAATTTTGATTTTTGAAAGTGATTTTGTTTTGAACCAAGACCAGAAATTCGATTTAATTAGATGGGGTTACTATTTTTATTGGGAAATAATATGATCATATGAAGAGATAAAGGTAATAAGATTGCCCAAAAGTCTTTTTGGGCAAACGCTTTTGCCATAAGCACAATCTCCTGGTAAATGGCAGATTATATTCTGAGAGTTCAAATGCTTAATTAGCTGATATTAGCCAACTACTTCACATGTGTTCTGTGATATCTATTTACCAGAAGAATGAAATACATGGCAGTTGGTTGGTTGTTTTGTTTGATTGTGTATCTTATGCGTTATATGTTGTATTGGCAGTATTCATTTTGATGAAATAGACAACTCTGAAGTACTTGATTACCAAAACTAATTACATGTATACAAAAAAAAAAAAAAATGGAGTTGAAAGGTAGAGACCCAGATGGCATTTGAGCAATAAATTTTAGTGGAACGTGTTATTGTGTGGAAATCCAAAAAGGGACAAAAGAGCTGGTGGGTTTAACTGACTCGAGTTTAATGCCTGTTTGGACGATTATAATTAGTCGAGAGGAGGATGTTGCATCTTGTTATTTGTATGTTATGGAGTTTAGATGTTGAGTCTTCTTCAGGTGGTTAACTGAAACCCAGGTTAACTCTCAAGTTAAAGGACTGACGGAGATTGAGAGCTAGGTTATTTACTGGGGTTGACAAGAGAAGTTGTGTCAAGCCTCCTATATCGCCTTGAAAAGAAAGGTGTCTAGGCCTGTGCAGGCCCAAGCTAGCAGACAGCACAGTAGTGTTTTTTTTGTCAAGCTAGAGAGAGACAGCCTATAAGGGGGAGAGAGAGAGAGAGAGTTCTCTCAGCTTTAACGCGTGAATTGAGGTGTCATTCACACGTGCGAATGATGTTGGGCTGTTACAAAGGAAGAAAACGAATATTATAAAAAAACAGAACTGGTAAAAGAAGCTTGAAATAATAATAAAGGTCAGGGTCAGTCAGGTGGGAACTCCTCTAAAAAGAGTCCAGAGATGAGAAGCCGTGTGGGTTTCTGTTAAAACACTTGTGCTGTTTCAAGCTTCATCTCTCTTCTGCAACTGCTTTCCCTCCCCTTCAATCTCTGTCAATCTCTCCTCTGATTTTTATCTTCTCTTCTCTATCGATGAGGATGACCTTGCAACAGTTTAGCACAACCATCCCTCACCAAGAAGAGGAAGATATGACCAACGACCACCACATGTATGGTAATGCACCAGACCAATCAAATGGTCTCAGCAGTTACTCCTCCACCACCTCCACTTCCTCTCCTTGTTCTTCTTCAATGGGGATGTTTGCAGATATCGGTTCTCTCTCCATCAATCCCAAGTCTGCTTCCCAAGAGAGTAATGACTGTAAAAGCTTTGACAAGGATAACAGGAGAGGTGGTTGGGCTTTTCCTTTTATGGGAAACTCCACCAGCAGCTTGGAGGACCCCCACAACAGTGAAAGTGATGATGCTAAGGTCTCTGAATCCAGTAATGGGTTTGGAGAAAACAATGCTATAGCGCAAGACAAATACAACAAGCACCCCCACAACTTTAATGAAGAGAACCCAAATGTAAATTCAGTGAATGGGAAGGAACTAGATAGCGGGCAGTCAAAGCTTTGTGCAAGAGGGCATTGGAGACCTGCAGAGGATAGCAAGCTCAAGGAACTTGTTGCTCTTTATGGTCCTCAGAATTGGAATCTTATAGCAGAGAAGTTGGAGGGAAGATCAGGTAAGAATAAGAGACTGGCAAAAAGTTAAACCTTTTCAAACCCATAAGATAGATGAATCCTCCTCTACACAGCTTGAACTAGTTTCTGTTTCTTTTTTCTTTTGTTCTTTTCATTGAATTATCTCTTTTGTTTGGGCGCTCGAAGGCAAGAGTTGCAGATTAAGATGGTTTAACCAGTTGGACCCAAGGATCAATAGAAGAGCTTTCACTGAAGAAGAAGAAGAAAGGCTAATGGCTGCTCATAGATTGTATGGTAACAAATGGGCCATGATTGCCAGGCTTTTCCCGGGGAGGACTGATAATGCAGTGAAGAATCATTGGCACGTTATAATGGCAAGGAAGTACAGAGAACAATCTAGTGCTTATAGGAGGAGGAAGTTTAACCAAACTGTTAGTAGACGGTTGGAGGAGAATGGAAGCTTTGCTTGCAGAGATGCATCTACTACAATAACAGATTCTAACTGCCTCAATCTCTACAATGGAAGCTTCAACAACTCCTCTCCCTTCCCATTTGCAGCTCTTTTTGGTGGTGGTGTTTCTGGATCAAATGGTTTGCCACACGTGACCAGTGGTGATGATTCGGCTCCCTTTCCTAGACGAGAAATGTTACTTGGTTCTTCAAGTAGGAATAACTTCCCGCCTCATAGTGGGTTTTGTGCGGAGCAAGTCCCCTTTGATTTCTTCTCCGGTGTGTCTCTCTTTGACCACTCTCATTCCATCTCATATTGCATCTCTTTTCTTCCTTTTTTTTTGTGTTTGGGTTCTCAATCTCATCTGTTTTTGTTTTTGCAAGTTCACGATCACGACACACATTTGATTTTTATTTTTTAGAATGCAACCCAGTAGTCCAGTCCAGTTCAAGTTCAGGTTCAACTATTTTATTTGCCTTAAACAGATATGCTTGAGCTGCAACAGGAACCCCCTTTTCCATGTTTATGTGACAAACAATGAGCTTTATTATTTGTTGGTTTGCTGTGTTTTGTATGCTCATCTTTGTTGTTGGTTGCATTTTGTAGGTACTAAGAACCATGGCATGACCGGACTTTTCGGGCAGAACAGGCAATGGGATAGGCCAAGCGATGATTCCTCCACCTTCACTGGTTTCTACACCACCCAGTCACCGATGATGCCAATGCAACAGTCAGACCAGTATCAGCCTTCTAGTTTCTCGGACTCCACAACATCAACATCCCAACTCTCAGTCACGGAAGCATCATCATCTGTTGCAGACAATAGCCGAACCAGCCATTTCGAGAGCACCATCTCGCCACCATTTATAGACTTTCTTGGGGTTGGAGCCACATGAAGAGAAGACCAGGAAAAACTGGAAAAGAAAGAAATTTCTATAAGGAGTAGATGTTGAAAGTTGAAACTGAATGGTGCTCAAAAGAAGGCTCCTTTGGCACTAAAGGGCACGAAAAATATGGAAGTTCATCAGTTTAGTAGTGGAGAGATGAGCAATAATAATAGTATGAAGCCACCCCTTAACCAAATCTCCTTGTGACCCACCACCCAGTTTAGATAGCTGATCAAATGTAGAAGAATAATTAAGATTATTGTGCAGAACTGCAGAACCAAATAGCTCGTTTTCTCTTTCTTTCTTCGTCATTATCTTGGTTTCACCGGAGAAGATGACTTTGCCCGATAACATACAGGAGAAAACAATATTAAATAAATTGAAGAGATGTTAGGAAAAAAAAAGCACCGGATTGAATATCATGTGATGCTGAGCTCCATGGTAGGAAACAAACTCCACCCATTGAAACTATAGCATGGCCATTTAAATTAGAAGCCCCATAGTAACTTGCCCAAGTTTATCAGCTTCTGCTCTAAAGAGGACCTGTGCCAGAGAGAGAGGACGAAATGTATAAAACATGTTTCCAGTTTGTCAATCAACTGACGGTTCACAGGTTTAGTTGCAGAGATTTGTAACCGAATGGGGCATTTATGGAAGTGGATATCATGCAAGGCCCATAGGAATACTTCTATCACTCCTATACAGATCTTTTTGAAGTGGTCCCTAAACCAAATTAAACATCTCAAGTTTGCCTCCGAGATTGAGAAAAATTGAGCAAAAAGGAGTTGATGAAAATGTTGAATTCAGAGGGGTGTTCTCTGGAAGTTTGTTCTCAGTTATTCACATGAAATAACCCATATCGGAAGTTAAACACGCTAATAAAAATTCATAGACCAATGCTGAGATAAGCCTCTCCATGAGCCAAACGCATTTGTGCAAGAGAGACTTTGGCCGTTGGATGTCATTATTATATGAGATGAGCCTGCAACCATTTATCTCGTCTTTTTGTTTGTAATTGTTTCATTCTCTCCTTTTCTTTAACTCTTGAACAGACGTTTAGATGTCATTATATGAGATGATTAGCACCTTTGCGTGACTGACTGCGTTTGACCTTTTTGTCACCGGGATGAACGATGGATGTTAAATTACTTAAATGTCAATGTGTATAATATGATCCAGATTCGGAAATTAGACGAGAGGTCATCCACTGCTCTCTATCAGACAGAAAAGGTGCAAACTTTTAACTAAGCATCGATGCTCAGACTTGGCGTCGATCGCTGTCAGCTTACTTTATTTTCCTTTTTTCTCCTTGAGATGGGTCAGAGCGATAGCTTTGGACCCTTGGGCGACCCCCTCATGCTATTGCTCTTCCTCTTGACTCGAGAGAGACCCTAATAAAAGACCAATGGCAACTTGGAGAGAAACGTCGGGAGACTGGCTCCAGACCTTCAGAGCAGTAATTTGACCCGATACCTCTCGAAATGGTAGGTGCCAGCCCATTTGGATATCTGAAATGGGTCTAAAGTAGGAGTCCGACACACTTTTTTCATGCATTAAAGTCAGAAGACAGAAGTGGGTTACCGTTCTCTCTCTCTCTCTTTGATTTCTGGGGAGAACAAGAACAGGTGAATTGAGGGAGGTTGAGAGAAAGTCACAGATATGGGTGATGACTGACGAGGAAACCGACCAAAGGTAGGTATGATGATGAGGAAGAATGAGGAATGAGGAGAAGGTAAACACAAACACTTAACAACCGAACAAAAGACATGGGAGATGGGGCTTCTCTTTTCAAACATCCATTTCTCGTGGCCGTGGGGTCTCGCAAAACTTGGGAGTTGGAGTTGGAGGGCACAGATTCTTGTTCGTCTCTCAACTCTCTTGGCATTCATTCATGATGATGATGATGGTAACTGTTGAAACAAACAAACAAACATCCTTTCCAGTTTCCACTCTTAACAGAATTCATGCCATCCGCATGAGTTACACAAACACACCTTGGAAACTTGTCCAAAACCCAGTGGAACCATTGTGGATCCAACAGGTGAGTCAGACGTGACGTGGAATGATGGTTATACGGATCCATGAATTAGATGTTCCAATACAAAGCTTGCAAGTTGCAACCTGTGGGAGAATCCATTGTTCCAGGCTCTCCCAATCATCACCACCTATGACTCTTCTTGCTAAACACTAAGGCTGTGTTTGGTTTGAAAGAAAAGGTAAGGAAAGGAAGGAAAAATACCAAACACAGCCTTTCCCCTTCCTTTTCTTTCAAACCAGACAACACAACCTAACAGTTGCAAGATCTGATCAATTAACCAGACAACACAACCTAACAGTTGGCACCAATAAATAAAATTTATCAGAGAATTATTACTTGAAAATTGATTTCTAGAGTCTAGACAATATAAAAACAGATTACTTCCTGAATCCATAAATAAGGGTGGTTATTCTTGACCGAGGATCAAACCTTTTTATTTTTTATCTCACTGCATCCTGCCAATGCCAACGTTTGATCTGGCACCTGCATCGTTAGGTTATTTCTCTTCCTCTCATTTTTGACTTGTTGATCCCAAAACAAGAAAGAAAGAAAAAAAAAAATGACCTTGTTATTCATGTTTTTTCCCCTTACTTGGGGTACCCTTCCGCATTAGTGCCAACAGAACAGACTCAACCCAGTTTAACTTGGGCTGGGTTCCAGTTGGTCGGGTCTGTAGTGTGTACCCAAACAATCACCCCTTGTCCAAATCAAAACCGCTGCAACTCATAGGTTTCACTCTGAGATGGAAGAGCTGCTTCCAGTTCCTGCTTTGTCAGCATGGTGGTGGAGTGCTGGAATGTTGCATCGTGAGGAACGCTACTTGCTTCCGACTGTATGGGTCTCACTGAAAATTGAGTTCCAACAGCCTTTAAAGTTCTATCGATGAAAGCTTCTCTTGACAAAAAATCCTTCATACGGCATACAAATTCTTCATGATCCCTTGCCTGAAGTGAACAGAAAGTAGTAGGTAACCTAACATTAGCAAGTTAACCACAAGCTAGTATCAAAACATCACACTTCAATTTTCAAAAGCCTTGTGCAATACGGTGATGTGCTGAGCTGAGCTGCTAGCCTATGCCTTGGACGGAAAGGACATATGCTTGCGTAGGTTTAATTAGCTCCAGAGATTGCACAATGACCAACCCACCAAAAAAGATAAAAAGAAAAAGGGCACCACCACACGTGCACAGAGACAAACAAAAAATAAAAGAAAAAGGGACCATCAGATGACTCATCAAGAACCGGATGAAGGTACCATTGGCATTGGACGACTACCACTTGAACATATATTTACTATCGAGACACCATGCTCTGATTTGATTCTCCCTATTGAATAAAAACAAATAGAGCCAGTATCCCAACCCCCCAATCATAGAAGAACGTACAGGTTTTTTCTTTGGTTAAAACAGAGCGTACAAGTTGATGAATACAAAACCCAAACTGTATATAGATTTAAAACTTAGAAATAGACATAACGATTTGACAGAACACATAAAATTAGAATTTCAATGCTTGGAATGTAATGGTTTCTCGACTATTGTAATTGGGACATGATGGAATACACTGGGATCTAAGCCAGGGCTTTAGATCCTTCAACAAAATCCACTGGATTATTTCTTTCACCTCAAGAATGAATAGAATCATAGAAAAGGAAGCGGCTCCACAGTCAGGATTATATAACCCCTATTCAATTAGATAAAACATTCCTTCTAAACACTTTTTGAAAAGGGTCCACAACACTGGCTGTAGACCGTGGTACCACTTTATTTGACCTATTGCAACTAAACATTTACTTGTTGAATGAAAGATTTCAGTCTTGCAAAACTAGACTCTTGTTCTGGTCCACCCATATTCATTTATGGTCTCAGACATGTGAATGTGTTTGAAACATGTCTGGTACAAGCCATGGTTCAGAGTATGCAGATGCTCAATAGTCAAACTATCCAGATGCTCAACAGTCAAAAATTGAGTACTGGGCATTTAATCACTTTAATACTCCATTATTTTCTTCTTAACTTCTTAACCACAAAAAAAATGTTAAGATGAATATTAACATTTGAAGCTATTAAATAGTTTTAAGTATTCAATCTTCAGTGACCCTGAAAACTGATATGTATCATATGATATTCAATGAAATGTTGCAGTACTTTGAAATTTATTCTATGTACATCTATGTATGTAATCAGGTAAAGTCGGAGCTTTCCTACTTGGTGGGCCGCTTAGAGACCATCTGAATTGATCAAACTATTCAATCTTCCAATTGACATCATCCCTGTATCTAGTGTGTTGTATGAGCACAGACATGAGAGTTGAGATAGAGTCTAACCCATGGACACATCTACTGAAAAGTATATACTATAAAAATAGTTCATATTTTTCAAATTCTAACATTTACACCTACAAAAAGTATTGACTTTGTTACTTGGTGCATTTGATAGGAAAAAACAAGGTTTTTAAAATCAGATCGGACAGAGAACCGTTCTGGGTCCGGTTCCTGGGTCAAACGGTCTGACTGTCCAGTCTGAATGAATGGCCTGTTCTTACAGAAAAAAATTAAAAAATAGTAAAAAACCATTATCTAGATCAACGGTTTGAAGGTTCAACCACCCAAAAAAGGAACCGTTCTAGGGTCAATTCCTAGGTCAAATGGTCCGACTGTTCAGTCTGAATGAATTGCCAATTTTTCTGGTCCAGTCCGATTTTGAAATCCATGGGAAAAAGTGGCATTCATCTCATAAATTAGCTGTTCATTTATGTTGCCATGAGATATTAAAAAAAAAAAAATGATATGTAACAGGGTCCAAAGAAAATCGTGGAGTGTCAAGACTCGATGCCTGTCCAATATGGACAAGTCATCCATTCAGGAGAGTCTATGCAATACTGATTGTACCTCTGCTTTTATTAGTATTATCCATATAATATAATATGGGTGCATCTATATGCTGAAAAGGTATGATATTTGACCAATCAATACCTCCCGAGGTAAACTTTGATGAATACCACTCATTACCACTTTAATGATATCGATTGGGGTCATAAGATTTTCTGATACCATGTCTTTCCAATATGATAGTTGCCTAAAAAGACAGGTTTATCTTGTTCCATGATGTAAGGATGGGTTCAAATTCGGCCTATCAACAAAGGATGGCAAGAGGAATATGTAATGTCATTTTGAGCAATGTTTTAAAAAACGATTCAGAATTGAAACTGTTCTGGCCATCGGTTTGAGTTGACGGTTCAATCATTTAGTCTAAACGGACAGCCCATTCTAGCAAAATAAATTTAAAAAATAATTAAATTTTAAAAGTGGCCAAAAACTATTGAATGGGTCAACGACAACTTCCCAGGTCACAGTTCATTGATCGATTCAACGATTTTTTACTAGAAACCGGATTTAGGATAAAATGAAACCAATTGTCTGAACGGTTCCCGAGCCAAACAGTCTGACCATCCGGGTCAAATCAAACCAAAGTGACACCTGGAAGATTCGTCAGTCATTCAGCCACCGCTAAACAATCTGAATAGCAGACTAGCTCAATTCAATACAATACAATACAGTAATATGATAATATGATATGATGTGATATGTGCATAATGTTAGATTAGAATGCAGTAATAAGTAAATAAAAATGGTGTAAATTTATAATAGTTTTAAAAGAACAACAAACCCAAATATAAAACCAATTAAGGAAATGTTGCCTTCTCCATCCTCCCAAATTTTTAGCCCTGTCATCAATAAATTCTACTTATCGAACACCCAGTATAAGGGTGTGGCATGACCACATGGCTTTTCATTTTCGACTATATTAAGTTGGAAATGATCTAACACATAGGATTAGGATCTGATGCCCTTTCAATTCAGTTTGTAAAGGCTCATCTTGGGAAGAGTGTAAACATTTATTTGCATTTGTACTCTTCCCAAACTGAGCCAAAAAAAAAATTCATAAACAGTATATATGATAATTGCAGTTAAAAACACATTTTATCAACATATAAACAGTTCATTATTTTACTGTCAATTTTATTAAGGTTATATTATCAAATTTAAGTTCTAAGTTGTTATTATCATCGTTAATCATAGGTGTTAAATATAATTGGCTCAGACCTGATTGTCCTGATTAATAATTGGGTCGGTTCTGGGTGATTCTTGTAATCCCAATTAATAATCAGAGTGGGAGTGGTGCACCCTGCCCCGAACTAGACCTGATCCATTGACAGCTCTAATTGTTTATCATTAATTCTATACAAGGTTCAAAGTATCGATACAGAGTGGCTATTGGCCTGTATTGGTCCTTTTTTTTTTAAGTTTTATTTATTTATTTTTCAAAACCAGCTCAGAAGGGTTGGTTTAAGTCCCAGCTACCCTCTGAACCAGGCCCTGACCTGATACAACCCCTATAGGGGTGTATCGAAAAGGCCCTGATACGGGCCGATATATAACAATTTTTTGAACCTTAATTCTAGGGGATGCAAATGCAGGAGAATGCACACCTAAGCATATAGAAAAAATATGAGCATTTGCACGAAAATAATGCAGACAGAAATTGGTCAGTGTGATATATGTAATACCTTCGATAAAGATTTACTTCCAAATAAATTTCATTTTTCCTCAAATTTTCCTCATTATATAGGTAATAGTACAAACGAAGAGAGAGAGAGAGAATAGAAGGGAATAGAGGAACAAGAGCATACCAATCGATACTTTGGAGTCCGCATAGGTAGTTTCAAGTAGGCCATGTTTCTTGCCTCATAATCCCATAAAAAGGAGGTATGGTGGACCCACCTGTTTTTTGTAATAGATTGGGCATTGCCACCAAACTTGCGGTTACCGAACACATAATCTAGAATCAGATGAAAACATATTCATATCAGAAAAAAAAAAATTATCTTCTTAGTTGTAATTTCTTTGGTCAAAATACCATTCACCTACTTCAAGGAAAAAAATTAAGAGCACAAAAAAAATCATCTAAACATTATCCCAATTATATATGATCGGCTACATGAATCCTGTTTTGGCATTCCGTTCTATTTAATGATATCCATTGTAAAATTACGAGTGCTTAAATCATTTCTTATTATTTCAACCCATGTCTTTTTTGTTCTGCCCTTAGCCCTTCTAGCCCCTTCAACTTGTAACTGATCGTTTTTTCTACTCATCCATCTCAGCATATTTATTTCTGCCATACTCAATTTTGAACATATTGTTTCTTGACTGCCCATCACGCTGCTGCATACAGCATTATTGACCTTACATCTATTTTATAGAATTTTCCTTTTAATCTAATGGCTAAAAGCAATCATTTTGAGTAAAAGAAAGGAAACTGTGGCACCATATCTGATGGCTATAACAAGGACCTGGGATTATAAAATATATTTAGGTAGGACACCAAACTTCTATATTTTAGGCCACAGTTAGACCTTTTTATCTTGGCATGTCAGAAACACATCGACACATTCTTTTTATATTAATCTTAGTTTATCAACTATGCCTTGTTTTCAACTATTTTTATACTGTTTGTCAACTAATTCTATTTACTTTTTTCACATTCTTATTATACCCATCTACAGCTTCATATAAGGAGTCTACAAGGGTAGTTTCAGGTGCATTCATTTCCTACTTCATGATCTCATAAAAATATGTATGGCTCACATCCTCTGGTTTTTAATTTTAGGTTGAGCATTTCCACAAACTTACTGTTACCAAAGACATAATCTAGCACCAGAAAAGTATGCATCCTGTCAAAGCATACTTGCCAAATATGCATTTCTTATGTCATTAATTTTTTTATTTAATCAGTCTAACAAAGATGAACAGGATTAATTCTCATGCTCGAACAGATTCACAGAATTTAATAAAGTGAGAGCTAATCAGTGGAAATGTAAAATAAAAACAAATTCCTCCATATAACTTAGTGTTGTGAAGAGAAACGCAAAAGAGCAAATAAAGCAATAATATAATGAGAGCATACAAGATTTATGTGGTTTGGCGTGTCAAACCTATGTCCATAGAGGACCCTGTGAAATTTACACTATTTCTCAATCAACTGTTACAACCCTAGCAAGAATGCTAGTATTTATATCATTAAATTAGGGTTTCTTTTCAGCATCCTAATCTGGCTACAATTTAAATTGCAAATATTTCTAAAATACCCCTGTACAAGAATTGTATGAACAAATTTTGCACAGGCCCCCTTCTACGGGTGCTTTTTTTTTCTTTTCTTTCTTAATACAAGACATTCATCATTACTTATTTTTTTTATATAAGACAATTATGTCAAGCAAATTATTTTAGATACATATTCCAAAATATTAAAATAAGATACAAAGATGTGTTGACTTTTCAAGTTGTATCTTGTGGTGTCTGACATTATTGTGTCCAATAATGATCTACAAACGCACATGTCAAAGTTACATGCTGGTAAACTAGAAGAGAAACTCAGAAGAATAGATTTGGAGAAAAGAAAAGATTCCCTAACAGAAGTTGAAAATAACCAGCGGACCAATGACATTTGGTGGCAGCAAAATAGAAAAATAAAACCATTTACCTATCTTTATGTATATAGTTCTTCATCACTTTTAATCAACTTATTACTTGAATATTTACCCTCGAAAGATACAAAATATAAATAACATGGTGATAGTACATAAGGGATTTACTAATTCAGAGCTATGTACCATTTTCACGTAGGTGGAAGTGACCAATCCCTTGAAACACTTCATTATATAATGTGCTACTCCAGGACATGATTGGCTGAGGATATGGCTGTACACCAGGAACAGCATTTTTATTACAGATGAAAGTGACAAATAGTGTCCCATGATCAACAATGACGGTACCTCCACCGCTAAACCTTCTTACAACAGGAACCTGATCTTGCAGCACAGATCTAACTTCAAGAAGCTCAGAGGGTTTCCTACATAACCAAATTAGCATGATCAATTTCTTGCATATAAATACCTGAAAATATGAACCCACTACTTGACAAGGTAGAGTAAGTTTGCACAATTTGTGCTTCACTTGAATCATGCCAATTCTAAGCCCTATGCAGTCACAAGAGTAGTTAAGTTTGTAATAAGTAACAAGAAAACCATCACTCAGCCAAATTCTGTGTGTGATCACTGACTGATTTAGTTCAAGAATAACTTTGCCAAGTCATGTCACTCCTTTTTTTGGTAAACACTCCTTTATTGGGCACGTGGACAAAATAAAATTATTTAGAATTTTACATCTCTCCAAGTTACCAATTATTCTGTAAAGATAATTTATATGTTATCCAAAACCAATGATTCATTGGAGAGAACAAATCAATTTTCCTGAACCATGGTCTTGTAGCATGACAACTTAGGTCCATATCACAACCTTTCCATCCTTGGGTTGGGGAAAGAAGCTGAAAGTGGATGGCCATGTAAATAGGGGGACAATCCAGTCAATTACATGAATAACACAACAGAGCTTGCATTGGCTGGCATGTTGGGGAAAGAGTTTGGATTAACGTTAGCTTTTTTTTGAAAAATAAAAATAAATTCATTAAAAACAAAAAGAGATGTCTCAGCTAAAACAAAAAAAAAAAACCGCAGCTTTGCACCTAAAATACGGTTTATGAGAACCATGAAAGAGGACAAGGATACTCAATTAGGGCTGGATTATGGCAGTTCTACAAGGACAGGGGCTGAATAAATCTCTTAGATGTAAAGATTTAATGATGAAAGAAGACTGCGACACATTTGTGGGTTGGTTAAATAAGAATGATACGGGCTCTTGGAAGTACAGATCCTTAATGAAGGAAACAGATCCATAATGTGGGTTGAGTTGTTCCATTGCAACCTGGGTGACCAGGGTTCAAATCTTGGAAACAGTCTCTCTGTGTATCTGCAGGGGTAAGGGCCGTAAGGCTGTGTACATCTGTCCCTCCCAAGACCCTGCATTGGCAAGAGCCTCATGCACTTGGCTGTCCTTTTTTAATGAGTGAAACTGAGAGGTTGGCTGCAGAACCATGAAGAAAGCATAATTGGACTTCAAGATGCATATGGATTAGCAAGACTGGTTCTCCAAGAAAGTATAATGTAAAGAAATTGGGTAGAGTGTCTAGTATGAACTAGGCCAACATCTATGGTGCTAAGCACATTGTTGTAGATATACTATTCATTTATTCATATGAATAAAATTTAACAATTACTGATCAAAGAATAGAACCAACAAAAAGGAGCAAATTTACCCTGAAATCCCCATGACAATGGTGGGAATATTTGTTCCATCATTGATGACACACCAATTCTCTGAGGAGGTCCGAAGAAGCTGTTCCTCCAAGTATAGTTGATGTAGAATGGGTGCGCCTTTAAATCTTACAATATTCATCAGTGGAAGGCCAATGCTTCTAGCTTGAGATATAGTACTCATTGAGCAGTAGGGTTCAGTCAGATCAACTTACTATCTGCTGATAAAAAATAAACAAATAAAAGAAAGAAAAAAGAATCCACTCACTATAAACTGATATGCGTCTTTCTTTGAAAAGAAATGATCACAACAAGGATTCACAATAGACCCTCTGTTTTCTGAAACTTGATATACCCATTTGCATGATGACATTCATCAACAACAAAAAGGCAAACCAAACAGAAACTCTTGAGATATTCTACTAATACATGAAACATAAAGGGTAAAATTACTGGTAAAACAAATGCAATAGTCTACAATAACAGATTTGCTTCTTTTCTCTTTGTAGAGGAGAAAAAACATTCTCAAAAATGAAAATCAACATAGAGATTCAGCAATGCCACAATGACAACTTTAGAAGAAATGACCAAACCATCTCCTCATACCTCAATTTCTTAGTTTGAAATCACACCTCCAATTCTTCAAGTTACACGGCAGGGTGGATACCCAAGATATAAATCTACTAAAGCTAGCAAAGTGGAGCTTTAAAGCATAAAGGTGCACAATTAAACCTCAGATATGAAGATTCTCTAAGGAATATTACCTAATACTTGGTTCCCAACCCAACTCAACAAGCCAAGCCATTGAATTTCATATTTCTGGAAAGCTAAGTGTAAGGTTGTGATCATTTAGAACAGAATTTGGCCAGAGTTTTATTGACTCAAGACTCGAGAGCACTCAAATTATGACCAACCTAAAACTCCGTCTAGTTGCTGGTTGAACTTGCAAGCATCTGATGGCATTTTGTGCATCACTAATCTCATAGTATCGGTTTCTTAGGGAACAATTTGAACGTTTTTGTTTTTATTCATTTTTTAAATTGCCACATCAGCAAAAAAAAGTTGTGTTTTTGTTTTGAGAAGCAAAAACAAGTTGGTTTTGTTTTAGAAAACAATTCATGTTTTTCAAACCATCAATATGAAGGACTTTAAAATAAAAAACAAATTTTGGAATACAAATACTGTATGATTTATGAGATCATTGAGATGATGAGAGAACATTTTGATTGCAAACCAGAAATTTAAGAACACATTTTTTGGAAACAAAAAACACATATACAACTAAGAATGTGTTTTATATGTTTTTGTTTTACAAACCAATTTATTTTTAAAACAGATGGTTTTAAGTTCTAACTTGTTTTAGGAACTCACTACAAGAAAAACAATTTACATCAAAGAACACCACTTTAGTTGCATCCAGGGCTCAACAAATCTAGTTGCATGTCCCAAAAACCAAAGCCTACTTTGTTAAAGTCTACTTGTCTTTACATGTGAAATAAGAAAAAGAAACGAAAGCAAGATATTTTGCTTTTAAAACTGGAAAGATGTTTCTTATATACACATTTCAACAGCTCAGAAATCAAATTTGAGAGTGGATTGAAGACCAACCCATCCATTTACAGCCCATAACCAATAACAATCCAAGGGAAGTGAACGGAGTTCGTGTGCTTGGGTCAGATTGACAGTTTTAAGCTTAACTTTGATGGCTGCTGCTTGGGTAATCCAGGTAAATAGGGTTAGATGTGCTGTAAGGGATGAGATTGGTTACATCTTGCTAAACTTCTGTGGTGCAGTTGGTATTGGTATCTCATTAAGGGCTGAATTGGTAGCAGTGATTGACGGACTCAAATTATTGGCACAACAGAATTAGAAGGGGGTGATCATTGAAGGTGACTACAAAACAGTCATTTCATGGCTCAGTTCTGAAATAGAACCAGCTCAGATATTCAGATTTCTGGTTAGAGAAGCCAAAATGCTGGGAAGAAACTTGAACTGCTTCAAGTGGGTTCGATGTTGGCTAATTCTCTTGCATAATAGTTCAATTAGAGATGATGTCAATTGTCAAGGATGCATATGGGGAATGCCTGGGCCAGGGGTCCAATTGTAACCAGTTATGTTTTTGTCTAAATTTGTGTGATCAACTATTAGCTGGCTTTGTACCTTAGGGGTGAACTTGGGTGGGCTTGGGTTGAGAATTTTGTCAAAATTTGAATGGGCCTGGCCTGAAAGCCCAAGCTTGAAATGCTAACTCCGGCCTACCTGAGTTGCACCCCTATTTGTACCTTCTCTGTTATCTCCTTTGGACAACTAGGGAATCTTTTTCTTCATATTAATAAAATCCTGTTATTCACCAAAACAAAAAGCAATCCATTCCATATACAAATTAATCGGTTGTAACCCAACCTAACCCACCTAGGGCTGCAAATGGATCGAATTGAATCAAATATAGGTAGATCCAAATTTGATTTGTTTATATTCAAATTCAAATTCAAATCAGATATTATCCATCAGATTTATATTGGATTTGAATTGAATTCAGATTATAATTGGATATTGAATAGTAAAAATAAACTATACTAAAAATGATCAAGATATTATATATTATTAATAAAATGAACTAAAAATCACTTTGATGTTGTATTCCATGAACAATACTTTTATGAAACTTGAACCTATGACAATTTAGTAAAAATACAACATTCAAACCATCTTTATTAATAGACACAATATATTTAAGTCTAATTGAACTGGAATTTATCAGATTGGATAAGGCTGAATCCATATTTGGTCCAAGTTCACACGTAATGGGAGAGAATTCAAATTCAGAAAATTGGATACTGTTTGCATCCCTAAACCCACCCATTTTGACCCGCTTGCCCAAGTTAACATTTTTCTTTTTCTCTATTCTATATTTCTATTCCAAGTGGCACAACCAGTGTACCTGAAAATGATCAGATTAAAATAAAAAGGAATTCTGTCCCCTCTTCTGGCTGCCAGTGGCAGAACCAGGTTGGGTCATCCATATACCCAAAAGTGACCAAAGAATTTAAAAGCAAAATTGCTAAAAAAACAAAACACGCACACACACACACACCCAAAAAGAAGCAGAAAATGGAGGGAAAAAAACACAAATTGGTGGAATTTAGACAACTTTCTCTTGGCATTTTCAACAAAACATATATAAAATATGAAAAGATATAAGTTTTTTTACAACTGTAAGGTAAAGTATTCATTTGTGATTAAAAAAGTGCAAAATTCCCCTGTACAATGAGGCTCTATACAAAGGATATACATTCAACTATTGTAACTTTACATCAAAATCCCTCCCATTATGAATTTACAAAACAATTAGACTTATCAAAAAAAAAAAAAAGTATTGTAGCTTCTTGCTTTAAATGCTTTATGATTTCCCATCCAAGAACACACCATGCCCAACACCCTCTTTATAGTCTCCTCAATTGCACAGATTTCCTTCAAATATCCGAGCATTCCCCTCTCCCCACACTACCCAGAATACAACTGCTGGGACAATTCTTGATGCCACTTTGCCACCTACATTCAAATCTTTTAAATCCCTAAATTCCAGGAAACTCCCAATATTGCCCAGGAAAAACATCTCTACCCCAAATAAGTCCATTTTAGTCCATAATCTATAAGAAAATTCACTATGCAGCTAGAGATGGTCTATTATTTCTTCATTTCTGTGGCACATAACACACCTTACATCAACCACTTCAATGCCCCTTCTAATCGCATTGTCTCTAGTTAAAATTTTGTTAAAATCTGGCTTCCAAACAAAGAAAGATAGTTTGGATGGGGCATTCCTATTCCAAACTCTTGCACTTGGAAAAACAGAGGTTTCATCCCTGGCTAAAATGCTGCAAAATGATTTGACAGAAAACTAGACTGATTTCTCCATACCCCACATTCTCCTATCCTCCCTTTCCCCACTCAGCTTTTTATTATAAATTATTGCAAACAGATTAATGAGGGATAACACTTCCTAATCATTCAAAATCCTAAAATTTAGGGATCCCATATCCTGTTTCCATTTTACATTTGCTGTTTCCACTTTTCATTTGCATATATTCAGCCCCTGTTGCATCCTTATTTACAGCTATTTCAAACAGCCCGGGGTAAAGTTCCACAAGTAACCCATCCTTCACACAATTGATCCTTCCAAAACACTACCCTTTTTCCATTAGCAATTTCGTACTTAATCCCTTCACGAACTATGGATACACTTTCTAAATTCCTTTCCACACTGAGCATCCATATGAGGCTCAAACCACATCTGAATCCCAATTTCTGTTATTATACATATATTTAGCTACTATTGCCCTTCTCCACAGGCTGTTCAATTTCTCATTGAACCTCCACAACCACTTCCCTAACATAGAAGAATTCACCTCCTTTAATTTTTAATTTTCTTATCCCTGAGCCACCCATCTCTTAGCCTTACATACTTTTTTCCAAGTCAGCAAGTGGCATTTGGCTGCAACCTTCCACCCTCTCCACAAAAATTTCTCATCTTCTCCAAAACATCAGCTATTTTTGCCAGGATGGGAATAATGACAGGAAGTGAGGGTTCTTTTTCAATTTGTTATTAATTTGTTCATTATTCATTTAATTTGTTTATTTAATTATTAGTCATTTCACTGATTTGGCAAGCAATATATAGATAGAAGCACTGGATTAAAGAATACTTGGACTAAAAAGGGAGTTTGAAGTATGATTGAAAATATCACTCGTGGCCATGGATTTGGTTGTTTTAAAAATTCCTAGTTGAAAAACTTCCAGACTTCAATGAGCTATGCTGGGTGTTCCTTACTCAATTTGAACTTGCTAAGCCCAAATAAGCAGTGTTGCAAAGGTATCTGACTAAGTGACTGACCACTTTGTGAATGGATGCATCATGCATAAATTGAAAGGACTGGACGTTCAGTTGGTTTGGATTTGTGCATGCACTTTAAAAGCTAGCGAAAATAATTTCCCACTTAAGCTAAAAGATGTAGCGAGCTATGTAGTGAAAGGCTATTAAAGATTAAACCATTTTGTTCAGCCATTTTAGTTGTTACAACCCTTAATTAACCAGTAGAAAGTGGGTAACTAACTCAAGAAAACAAAAGGGTTTACCTAGTAGAAACACCCAAGCTAAAAAGGACAATTCCTGGCTCAATGGAAATCCCCTGATGTTCCCACCTGACATCTAATTTCCTGTAATATCCAGATATCCAAAAAAAGACATGGAAATTTGATATGGGAGTCCAACTAGAACTTTTCTTGAAAGCCTGAGCTTGTCTCAAAAATATTGGGGACCCTAAGTATATAGAACCCACCACATACATGCTAATGTCGTCCATTGCTTCCCTGGTAGATTTGGGAAAAGGGGACTTCGCTATTTTAGTTGACTGAAGGCCCTAATTGCAAGAAAAGTATATCTGCATTATTGTGTGTAGTAAAAAATGACAACTAAAAAAGTTGAAGAGCAGAGATGCCGACTATTAACAATAAATGTTTTTTTGATAAAATTTCAGTTCTTTGGATATGCTTTGTAAGAGGAAGCAAACGTACCAGCTGAAGAATCCATTGAAAGTCCTTCGAACAATAGAGGCAACCATAAACGTCCCTGAAACAATGTTCTTATAATTAGATAAAGAAAGAATTAAAATAAAACCAGAGCAACCTGCATACAAGGAAAGAACTAAAATAGGATTGGATGAATGCTGGAACAAAATGTAATCATGGTTGGAGAACCAGGATTTCTTTACTCCACATGCTTCTCTACAAAACATACCAGTGAGTAGCAGGCCTTCTCTTACTGCTTTGTCACAGAATGGACTTAAGGACGAACTATGCTCGTATTCACTTGAAAAAGTAAACGATATTTTAGCAGTCCCTTTGCTTTTGCTAAAATCGGATTTAGCAGAGAAAAAAATAAAACTAAAAATATACCTGGTAAATCTCCAACGAATTGGATTTTGGGATCTCTCCAACAAACAACAAAGTTGATAAGAGTCTCGGTTCCCTGAGTTGAGAAGATTCAACAACGAACAACACGAAGTTGAAAAGAATCTCAGGGTCCGTTTGGTTTGTGATCGGAATCGGAATGGGAATCCCTTGGAATGGGAATCGGAATGGGAATGGTCTATTCCCCGTACCTGTTTGGTTCAAACAGGAACGGGAATCGGATTCCGTTGATGCTGTTTGGTTCATCAAGAGGCTGGAATCGGAATCAGCCATGATTTCCAAATTTGCCCCTAATAAAAATAAAAAAACAGAAAATGCATGAAAATACCAAAAAATGCAGAAATTTTGCAGGAAAATGCAGAAATTACAATAATTTTGCAAAAAAATCAGAAAAATGAATGAAAATATCAGGAATTTTGCAGAAAATTGCAAGAAAATCAGAAAATTGCAGAAATTACAATAATTTTGCAAAAAATTCAAAAAAANAAAATTCAAAAAAATGAATGAAAATATCAGGAATTTTGCAGAAATTGCAAGAAAATCAGAAAATTGCAGAAATTACAATAATTTTGCAAAAAATTAAAAAAAAATGAATGAAAATAAATGTCTAAGATGCTAGTGAAACATTTGAAATCATTACATAAATATGTCTCTCTGTGTGTGTGAAGATTCACAGCATCATACATATGTACACACTGTCATGAAAATGTAGTGTTAATAGGAACTTGATGATTGGTGAACAAAAGGGAGGAGTGGTGCACATGCTGAAGATGAAACTTAGACCAAACAGAGTCCCTAGAGGTGGGAAAGGTTGCAGAAAATTATTGGAATTTAAGATTTTACAAATTACAAAATCAGATAGGACACAAAAATTGTATTTCTTGAAGTTCCTGTAAATCTACAGGGATGTTAAATGAAAAATGAACAAACTCAAAAGTACAACTGAGAAATATAAATATGTAATGTGTAAGTAAAAATATCAGGCAAAGCTACTTTTGTCAATCACCAAGAGAATTTTACAGAGAAAGAAATAATAAAGTGCAAGCTCCCCTACCAAAAAAGCAGTAAGGGAAATGAGCCAATGCATATTCCAATTTCCTTTCATCTCAACTTAGTGAAACTTTAAGAGGTACAAACATCTTTATCTAGACTCAAGTCAAGTTTGGAAAGTAACAAATAAGGGTTAACCAGTGTATATCGAGTTGTAAAGATATGACAAAAATACGGTAGAGGAATGGATGGACAAGTTGTTGCATACACAATTTACCCCAAAAATCAGAATATCCAACATGACATAACACTCATATACAGGTATCCAGATTTCATAGGTGACAAAATGTTTAACCATTAAACCATGCAAGAGACACTTTTCAACTTAACCTGCAAAACAATTGTTTTCAACAAATACCATGTAAAGCATAGAGAATGCTGCTGACTAGGGCTTCTAAGAAAACCTTGTGCCAGAAAAGCAATTTCTGAAGTTGAGAAATGGAAATATGTGAAGGACAACCACTCAATCAGGATCTTGACCACAAAAGGAATTAAAAAAGGCTAATACCAATGTTGGAATCTCAGGTGGAATATCCACCCTGGATCCCTGGTTTCCAGAAAGAAGCATTGTTGAACTGCATTCTCTAGTTGATTGATCAGTCAGTTGTTACCAAACTGATATATAGCCCATGATTTGAGAATGTAACTCGTGCTCTTACTGGGCAACCCAACAAAATGATCCCACACTAGTAATGTCAAAGTGGAATAGATTCTAGAACATTGACCAAGAATACGTTTGATAAATATAACCAACTAAATTACACTACAAGCACCAAACATAGCTGACCAACCACAGTGCAACGACTACAAATGTAAGGGAGTTACAGTTTTACAGGATTCCACTAACGAAATGGTTATTATCCTTCCATTATTGTGGAACTAAAAGGTGTTACAGAAACCATCTAATTAGTTAAGTTTTTGCTGTCATATACTTTCAGGATCAGGAGTTGGGATAATAAAGTCCTACACCTACAAGGTGGATACATGTCTAATATTAGAACTAAGAATTAAGCATGAGATTTCTTTTCTACCTTTCACTTTAATCACGACAATCCTCATTTGGAAAATGCAGACGGGTTTAATGGATGATGGAGTAAAACTTGGATTATTGGGTTCATGGATGGCTCTCTTTCTAGTATTTGCAGCAAATACTCAGTTGGCAAGCCCTGGTTACCTTTCAACTTAGATTGCATGGCATTCTCTAATCTGCCCTTGCTTCTTGAAGGATGACATTGATGACAAGTCCATCTTTATGTTCAATGCACTTCCAGAAAGAGAAAAAAAGGCATTGCTCGAGAAACTAGAACAACAGAAGTTAATATCTGAACGTTAATTCATGAAGGACCAATTTATTCCAGGTAGCTGTAAGAAGAAACCATGACGCCATATTTTCTAGGTACAGGTACTGTTATTTCCTCCTAGGATTCGCAGAGATCCTTTTGTCGCATTCTGTTATTGAATTGTGTATTAAGTATCTGTTTATCTGGTATTGTCCTTGTTATTGAAGCTGGATTTATCTACTTTGCATTTAGAATCCATATCCTTCAGGTCAACTAATGTATCATGAACCTCACGAAATACTGGATTTTTTTAGCTTCTCAGTGTCGTGTACATAAAGACCCCCCCCCCCCAAAAAAAAAAAAAAGAAGAAAAGAAAAGGAAAAAAGAAATAGAAAAAAGTTTCCGAATGATTTTGTGCTTCCATGTGGGATTTAGGTGCTATTTATACCCTACCCTGCAGGACATTGTATAAGGGTATGTATACCCCACAACTGTTTACCATCTACAACATGTTTACCATCTACAACTGACTGCTGAAGCTGAGCCAGTTGGGTAATAGACCACTGTTTACCATCTACAACATGTTGTGGATGCGTTCGTGGGGAGGACGTACAGCCGCCGACAGCAGCAGTGAAGAGGGGCCCACAAGGCGGCAGCTTATCTTATCAGCTCTTAGCTTATCTTATTCTTAGTACTTTTCCTTATCTTCTAGAGTTTGATTTATCTATTAGAAGTAGGAATCTGATTTATCTTAAAAGTGTGATTTATCCTTATCTGTAAATAGTCGAATTCTACTGGGAGTCTTCCCACACCTCTTGGTCGAATTCTACTGGGAGTCTTTCCACACCTCTTGGTCGAATTCTACTGGGAGTCTTCCCACACCTCTTGTAATCTCCTATTTAAGGAGCTGCAAATTGAGAATAAGGCATTCAGTTTTCAGTCAATAAAGAGTTTAGGAGAGTTAGGGTGATCTCTTGAACAAATCACCCTTAGATCGCCACGATAGGGTTTGCACGCAAAGGGAGGGACAAGGGGAAGCTAGAGGTTCTCCCCGTGGACCGACCCGTGACAAGATCCTACGCCCGGGTCCATAACATTTTGGTATCAGAGCCAAATGTCATGGGCGATATGGAGCAGCTATCATCCAGGGTCCACGAATTGGAACACCGACTCGTGGAGAACCACGCGAAAGTGAGAGAAGTCAAGGAAGATGTTCGAGAGCTTCGTCACTTACTCGAGTTGTACTTCTCCACAAGGGAGAGGAGCTTTGAAGGGGCGACCACCACCAACAGCCGCCAACCAGAATTGGCGGAGGGATCCGGCGAATGACAGATCGCCGCCCCAACAGCAGCGGTCATACCCAAGTACAGTCGGCTGGAGTTTCCCTCATACAGCGGCAGCGGCGACCCATTGGGATGGTTGTACCGCTGCGAGCAATTCTTTCGTAATCAGCGCACGGAGGAGAGGGATAAAGTCAGTCTGGCCGCGTTTCATCTGACAAAAGAAGCACAGCTCTGGTTCTACCGGGTGGAGTAGGAGGAACTAGGACTCAGCTGGGACCAGTTCAAGTCCTACTGCCTCCTTCGGTTCGGGCCCCCACTGACAAGCAACCCATTGGGAGAGTTAATTAACCTCAAGCAGACCAGGACCGTAGCCGAGTACCAGCAGCAATTTCAGACCCTTCTCGCCAGAGCCTCTTCAGTGCGCCCAGATCAGCAGGTGGATATGTTCACTGCTGGACTAGCCGAACCTCTGAGAGTCAATGTAGAGATGTAGAGCCCTCCCAACCTGGTCACCGCAATGAACCTAGCTCGCGCTTTCGAGCGCAAGCTACAGATCAGCCGAGGGTCTTTCAGCATGGGGCATTCAGCGACCTCATGGACAAACCTGAAATCAACTGGAGGAGGGTCTTCGTTGACAGCCAGCAGGGAACAACAACCTCACACAGGTAACACTTCCAGATCGGCACCTAGCATAGGAAGCAGAATGACGGCACCTCCCATCAAACGCTTATCTAGAGCTGAGATGGCGAAGCGCCGGGCAAGAGGGCAATGCTTCAACTGTGACGATCTGTACTCAGTCGGGCACTGATGCAAGCGGTTATTCTGCCTCCTGGTCGATGAACTGGAGGAAGACGAGGAGGAGCATACAACACTAGAACCGGAGATCTCCCTTCACGCCATCACCGGAATACAAAACTCCCAAACCATGCAGCTACGGGCATAGGTGGTAGGGGAACCAGTACGTATTCTGGTGGACTCGGGAAGCACACACAATTTTGTCATCAAGCAAGCGGCACTTCAACTGAAACTACCGGTGGAAGGCAGACCACAACTTCAAGTAGCCGTCGCAAATGGGGAGAGAGTTCACAGCCCTGGAATCTGCCGGAACATCCAAATACAGGTCGAATCCGAACCCTTCTCCGCTGATTTATTTGTACTGCCCTTGGATGATTTTGATATAGTGCTTGGAGTTAAGTGGCTCATCACTCTAGGCCCCATCCTGTGGGACTTCAGTGCCCTGACCATGTCATTCAACCTGAATGGAAAACAAGTCACCTGGCAGGAACCAGGGTAAGGGCAAAAAGACCGCAGGTGCATACTCTCCATGGTGAAACCATGCACACTGCAGAGATGGAGAGACTTCTCACCGACTTCCCGGCCGTGTTTCAAGAACCCAAGGGACTCCCACCTATCCGATCGTGTGACCATCGGATTCCTTTAATACCAGGTTCAGAACCCGTCATCATCCGGCCATACTGCTACCCGCATTTGCAAAAAGATGAGATAGAGAAACAGTGTGCAGAAATGTTGAAACAAGGAATCATCC